TTTCTTTTTATGTTAATAAGCAACGAACAAGGCGTAGCCTTCTTCTACATTATTCCTATTATTATTGTTATTATTTCACAAATGCTTTCGTTTCATTTTTCAACAGCATTTTGGCTAATTGTTGAGAATGTGGCGGCGACGTTTCTTGCACCTCAAGGTTAAGCGTATCTCTATTGAAAAAAAAAAAAACATAAAATATTGGGCACAACAATGGCAGCAATGAAAACAAATCGGCGAAGAAAAATGAAGAAATAAATACTCGTACGTTATGCAAATCTGACTTGAACATTTGTTGTCATTGCATAAGATTTCATAAAATAACACCAGCGAAGAAATACCGAAATGAAAAAAATGTATATTCGTATACATACATATATAATGCACGAGGTAATAGGAAAAAATAACAACAACACATGTACTTGTGTTTATTTTTGGAGCCGTTAAGTAGCCAATATGCAAAAAGGTCGTACGAAGTTTTGATTTAATCCTCAACAAGCTGACAAGATCATAATGATGTTAACAACGCTCGCGATCATAATAATGAAGAAGTGTTTGTCTATGAGTTGAAAAAACACACACACAGCTATGAGCGTTGATAAAAAATATTAAACGCGTGCAAAGATAATACAAAGAAATACTTATAGTGGTAGTACATAGAATTGGAATTGTGTTTGGGATTGGAGGTTCAAGATACAAGAGAGCTACATACCATTTGGCAGCTACTTTAGAGCTGGTTATTGTACAGCTTGGTAGTTCCTTTCTGAAGAGGATGAATTTTTGTTTTTAAATGAAGAGCAAACTATTGATGAAAAAATCAAAGTCAAAATCTTAAAGGCAGCTGCTTTAATGAACAGCAAAAAATTGTTAGAAATCAAAGTAAGCATCTGCTATTAGAGTTCGCACGCTTCTAAGTTATATAAAATAAAGCTCCTTGATCCCTAAGAACTCATTCTGAGCAGTAAGTTATCAATGAATAGCTTTCGATTCTTTTTTAATGTCATCAAACATTTCTTTTGAACTGATTTTATTGAATAGTCCAGCATTAATAAAGTCGCAATCAAATAGTTCGAATGGAATCCAAAAGTCAATTGCTAATCAGTTTTTCGCTTATCTACTTAAACAACAATTTATTCTAAGCTCTTATTATTGATAATTTAAAGTGGGAATCACAATCGACGGCAATTCCTGTAGTCTTTGCTTATTCATGTGACTTTTCATGTTGATGTGGAAAAACAAAAAAAAATAGTGGCCTGTCAATTTCCTTCACACTTTTTTGCAACATTAACAGCGGCAGCAACAAATTGGCGCCCATATATCCGAATGTTAACACTTTTCAGCCTTTGCTTCTTCTTGTTCTTATGGCCAGTCCACTGACGAAAGAACAAAAATAAAATCCACACATAAAAAATTCTTTTTTTTAGCTGCAAGGCAACAATCTAACCGGTTTCAAAAACTTAATTAAAATAATATCACCATAACAATTTTTCCTTGTGCGTATGTGTGTTTGTGCTTCCTCAACAAGTTCAGAATTGAGCTGAGCTGAACAAATACATACATATGTATACATATATGTATGTATGTATATACTCGTACATGTCTATAACATAATGTTTGAGAGTAGCAGAATATTCATTCATAGCTCAGCAGACTGCGATCCCAAATGCTATGCAAAAATATGCAGAGTGAAAGAGCCTCGCAGTCCGTCCACTTGGTGTATGGCACACATAAAAGCCTCAGATTTTTTTACTATATAAGCAACGTTAAATGTAAATGTCGGCAATACCCACAACAACAACAACAACAGACGCAATAGCTATAGCGGGAAGAACAACAACAAAAGCAACAATATCAGCAAAAAGAAAAGAATACAAAAAAATAGCAACAACAAAAAGTAGCAACAGTAATCAAAGCAACAACAACAGCCACAACAAGAAGAAGCAGAAAAGAACAACGTTATTGTTTTTGCTTTATTTTCCATTTTAAAGGGAGTGTCAATTGTTAGCCAAGTTATTAAGCCGCACAGAAGAAGCTGTGGCTCTGTGGCTCTGACTCTGACTCTGCCTTTGAGTCTGTCTGTAGGTCTGTGGACCTCTTAATGTGGCTGTGGTTGTGCGCTCTGCCATGACCAGTTTTTTTTTCCTCAAACATCGTACCTTGCTGTTCAGGCTGCTGACGATGATTCATGACTGGCGATACAAATCTTTGATCGACTGTAAAATTATTGACTGCGGCGCATAATTTTATGAATGAACAACAAAGCAAAGCAACAACAAGCGTTACAACAACAGCACAGCACGCGCGCCAATTGTGTCTCTCAATATATATACATAAATACTCGTAGGTACAGTACGAACTAATAAGTTGACCAGTTCCTTCAGATAAAGTTATATAGTATTTTATGCATAAAAATAGTTTCTGAATACCAGAAACTCAATTAAGATCCACTTTGTATGGCTGATGAGATTAATTTGAGTGCAAATTCTTTGGCTGTCTGAACATAGCAAAAGATTTTCGACTAACAAACAAGCTAGCTTGTAATCTAGATTCTATTACTGTAGATTACCATCATAATGCAACTTTTCAGGCCTAAATATGTTGTGCCATCTCTGCAGCCATCTCAGGCTAATATATGTGCATATATTACCTTTTAAATATATATGTTCACACATACAAATTATTTGCACACAAATTAGTTAACAATATATTGAAGTGAAAAAACCATCCAAAATAATCCATTTACATAGAATTGCATATACTAGATTTAAATGGGTCTGTTGCTGTATTTTAAAAAGCAATTACAGAAGCAATGTTAAATACAAGATTTTGACTTTTAAAGAACTTCACCCAGCTTCCATATATTCTCTATAATTAACCAATATTAGCGGTGTCTACTGTACCCGCATAGACTCTACCTATATGTTTTTGTCTCTGGTCTGCCCAGTAATTTCACTCGCGCTTCGCTTCAAGACTCTCGAGTGCACTTTGCCGCACAAATTATGCGTGAAATAAAATGTAAATAAGAAAGCAAAAGTGCCAAAAACAAAAAGCCAAAGAAAGAAAATGAAGCGAAAATAAGCAACCAGCTAGCAAACCAGCCTTCCATCCATCCAGTCATCCAACCAACCGGTAGTTATTTTGGCGCATAGCTCCCCATCATTAGGAGTGCACTTGTAATGCAAATCAAGTCGGTCAAGTTGCCGACGACTGCCCAACGGGCAACACTCACTTGAAGATGACGCCACAAATTGAGACAAAGTGCGTTGTTGTTCCCCTGTTGTAGTTGTTGTTGTTGTTGTTGTTATAAGATGCTGTTCATGTGACCAGACCCGAAAGACAAAATTCAAATGAATTGGTATGCTGGGCAGGCAGCAGATCAAATGCTCTTCCTATTGCCAATTTTTTGAACTTAAAACAGTTATATAAACAATAGGTCCTCTATGAATAATAAAGATGATTAATTATCTAACATGTTCTTATTCTTTTGATCAAGCTTTAATATAAAAGAGCTCAGGACATGACAATTTTAGGAATAGCTTCCCATTTGTTCAAGAGCAGAAAAAATTATACAGACATAATCATATAGTGACGATAGCCTTTCTGATATCCTAGATAGAAAAAAAAAGAAGTGCAGCATCAACTCAAGTAGCCACTCAACTAGTTGTTTATCAACAGGCCTATGATAAAAATCAACAAATTTTGCAAGCCAGTTATAAGCCATGTTTATTGGCCGGGCGTTAATTAAGCTGATGGCTTTGACAATTGCGTAAGGCGGTGGCGGCAATTCGAGACATCTGGCCAAAAAAGAAACAAACAAACTTAATGTGATTGCATAAGGTTAAACGGCATGCCAAAGAGTTGACCCAGAGCGCCAGAAGTGGGTCAGTGGAGAGGTACGATTAGTGCCAACCTAACTGTGGGAAAGCATTCTGTTCTACTTCTCAGTTTGTGATCATGACGATCATGATGATGATGGTGATGATGTGGACGATGGCGATGATGACAGCAGCGTTACATTTAAGTGCTTAATCGATTCCAATTTAATTGCTTAGGTCGCCACTGTCGCAGCTGACGGGACGTGGGCGCAAGCGTAACTCTGAAGCGCAAGTCGCACGCCCTGTAAATAACAAAAAGTAAAGCCAACAACAAGCGAAAGTCTTATGAAGACGTGAACAACAACAACAACAATAGCTGTTTGTGTGACAGTTTGTGGCAAATTAAATTGTTGCTGCTCAATAAATTGTTAAAACATTTTCTCCCTGCCTGACTGACTCTCTGCCTGCCTGGCTGGCTGGTTGGTTGGCTGGTTATGCAATTGAACAGCTGTCATGGCAAATCAATTAAAAAACCATAAGTACAGGAGAAAGATGAAGAAGAAGAGTTATGAGCCAGAGACCACCTGGCGCGAAAGCTGCCTAAGCAGATGATCTCTAGGTGTTGATAGCTTCAAGGACCATTACGCATATAATTAGAATACGTGCTTTTCTGCTTGGAAAAGAAATTCTTTAAATTATTTTGAATGAGATCTTGAGTTTAATTTCATTTTCTATGCAAACATCATCTTTAAAAACATTTTCTATGCAAACATCATCTTTAAAAACATTTTCTATGCAAACATCATCTTTAAAAACATTTTCTATGCAAACATCATCTTTAAAAATAAATAAATAGGCAATATAAACATTTTTTAAAATAATACAAGTACTGCTAGTTGGCAATAACACGATGATTTACAAATGGTCTCGAGTTCAGCATCTTGTTGTAGATCATAAAAGACGTAGCTTTGCAGCTAAAGAATAAATATTAAATATTTTGCCATAAGTATCAATTATTTGACTATAAATTTGAATTTGATTTTACAACATAGATTAAATAGGTTGCTAAAAATATTACTACGAATACTGAAAACTCCTATTATAATTAAATACTATTTTTACTCTTTCAAACTACTACCAAGAAATTGCAATTTAACTAACGCTTTTTATTTTTGTTCCTTATTTTAGGCGGCGTAGCCCCTGGAACCCCATCAGCGGCCATGATCATGGAAGGGCTTGAAACCCTGGTGGCGCCCACGCATCACGCATTCCTATTAACCGAAACGGCTGCGGCCGCACACTTCAATGTATTGAGCTTCGACACGTGCCTGTTCAAGACCACAGCACAAACGAGTCCGGCGGCCAGTTATCTGAATACCGCACAATTCGGCTCCGGCAGCGGCAGCGGTGGCAGCAATCTAGCTGCTGGCAGCACTCTCGGCGGTGGCGCCAGTCCCAGTGGTGCACAAACGCTGCTTCATTACAATCTGAGCAGCGCCACAACGACAGCAAACAACAATAACAGCAACAACAATTCTGTGCTCCGGGCACGAAACAATACGGCCACGCCCACACAAGGCAGTCCGGGCAACGTAGCTGCCCAGCCATTGGCCGGAGCAGCTGTGGCAACCACATCATCCGTTGTCAGCGGTCGCAGCTCGGCGGGCTCCCATCTGAGTCTACTCAACACCACCCAACATAGTCCGGTGAACGCATCCGAGCACGGAGCTGTGGAGGCTAAGCTTATCGATACGCTGCCGGGCGACTTAAATACGCCCGTAACCACATCCAGCGATATACCCTCGTTCTTCGGGCCATCCACAGTGGTTGAGCCGCCACCGATTACCGGTAAGTTCATTAAGTGCTAACTCTTGAACGATAGATAACACAGCAGATTGATCAAGAAACTTGTTAACAACGATAACCGAAATACAACCAAAGCAGTGGAAAACTTCTGCAACTCGATTACTTGCAATACTCTTAGTTTCTTTCTAAATGTACAGAGTGGATTTATGAAGGTCTTTCTTTTCTATGAAGTCTTGGAAAAGGAAAAAGCTCGATTTATTTTAAAAGCTAATAGAAAATATCATTAAGCCAACCAGGAAAACTTCTTCAACTCTTCGAAAAAAAAAACTCGATCATGTTTCTTATAAAATGAATTTTCAGCCGACTTTGTAGCGGCTGCACTGCATTCACAAGCCCGCAGAAGTGGGAGGGAAATAAAAATATATATAGCACTTTCCTTAAGCCTTTATCTGCCACTAATGGACAAAGCTGTTGTTCGTTACAAAAATAGCTGCAGCGTCGGCAACCGCACTTGCCACATGTTGTTGCAGCCTCGCGGCTCGTGCCTCGTGCCTCACTAAATAATCGACTAATCCTCTGTCAGACGTAAGTTGCAGCATAAATCAGTCTCAACTGGCGTTATGTTAATATCGTTTGCTCGCTATATGCACTATCAACTAAAGAGTTTCCGTTTTAACAGAACTTTTGTGGGGCAGACAATATATAAACGCTATGAAAAGTGATACCTAAGGAAATAGAGAAAGAGTCTTATCATTATGATAATGGGAGTAGAACACTTACTTTACAAAAGGTATAAAAAAGTAATTTGCTGATTTATAACGGAAGAAAGTTTGTTTATTAATTATTATATTAGTAAAAATATACATAAGTATGTATATATATATATATATATATATATATATATATATATATATATATATATATATATATATATATATATATATATATATATATATATATATATATATATATACATACTTATGTATATTTTTATGAAAGGTTAATAAAATGTCAATCAAACAAAACTGAATTTTTAAATATTTAGAAAAAAAAATGCTTTTTTATGGCATTGTCTTTATAGAAATTAATTTCCCATTAGTAATGTGCTTTCCACTTCCCGACAAACTGTTTAAAAGTTTTGTCATTAAATTGGAATCTTAATTTAAAAGCGTATTCAGTCTTCGTGTTAAGCATTTATTTTCATTTTTACTGCATGGCTACGTGTGTTTTTTTTCTACCATTAAACTGTCGTGCCATTTTGACATAAACGCCGTTTCCACTCACATCAGTTTAATTTTATTATGAAAACAAGTTCAAAATGCAAAAAAGAAAAAGCAACCAACAGACATGAAGCGCCAATTTTGGGAATTCTGTGCTCTTTGCATTCTTTCGCCTAAATTAAGAGCCGTGCTAAGAGCTCGCTTCGAACTCTGACATATTTTCGCATAAATAAATAAAATAAACTAACTTCATAAATACGTTGACTGCAAATAAAATATGTGTACATATGGATCAATATGTAGATTAATTCATTTATGCAGTCACTCAAATTTATGTCATATTTTGGGACTTAATTATGGCATCTATATGCTCAACAGCCGATCTCTCTCTGGCTCTGTTGCTCTTTATCTTTCTCTCAGCTTTGGAGCGTAAGATTGTTCTAAGACTGCATAGAGGCAAATAAATGAAAAAGAACAACATTTAATTAATCAACAAAACTACTACAACTACAACAACAACAACAAGTTGTGCTAATGCAATTCAACGGCGCATGTATTAAACATTTCCGTTCAGTGTCAATGTTTCGAGTAATTTGTTCACTCTCGGGTTTTCAACTTGAGATACGCGTTGGGGCCGCCAGGCCAGACATATCACCACACACACATACTCGTACATACTATAATTCTAATTGAATTAAGGCCCAGCAAATAAAGTATACTAGATTTTCTTTTCGCTATCAAAAACAATTGAATTTAATTGCTCGCGTAATTTGCGCGTCATTTTCGATACAGAAAACACAACAACACAACAAACAAAAAAGAAAAAAAAAAGAGCACGCTCACACAATGTAGCAGTGTCAAGAATTGAGATTGAAGTTAAGTCTTTGGGGCAATTGAAAATGCATAAAAAATACTCGCACACTCACTACATACACATCTATATTTACATATTCTCATCTAAATCCATGCATGTCATACGTTGTTTAAACGCTGCCAAATATATTCAGCGCCAAATGTTGTCACACATAAATTTCGATTTGGCTGACAAGCAACCAGCCCACGCAGCAGCATTTTTTGCGCTTAGAGAAAATTAGCTACTTGCTAAAAAAAATCATATAGAAACATATAGGAAAATATACAAATATCAGCCATACAATTTTCAAATGAAATACATTAAAACAATTTGCGTTTTGCTGCACATGGAACGCTTTGCGAGCAATGCGCGTCGACAATGATAAAGCAGCTTTTAATCGCGAAACTTGGCAGCCGAGTGCGACCAGCAAAGACGCATAACTTATGTCAAGCTGCATGAGTTATTCGAGCCCATACATATATACACATAAATATTGGGGAAATAGTGGGGAACAGGGCGGCAGGGAAACACAGTTGGGCCCACTGACTGGTCAAAAGAGTGGTCAGAACTTGTCCAAAACAAACTCCCACATAACTAACATAACAATTTAATTACCTTAAACAAATTCTACGAGTAAACAAAAATAAAAAATATTCTTAAATTGTTCACATTAAAAAATTGCCTGAAAATAATAAAAGTTCTCAGAGTCTACAGAGTCCAACAGTTACTTTTACAATATGAAAATAATATTTTGAAGAAGTAATATTCTAAAATAAATTAAGCTCAAAGTAAACCGCTTTTACCAACAACTACCAGCTATCATTTATAGAAATTCTGTTTGCAAAAAAATGTGAAACTAAAAACCACATAAAGCTTGCCTTTATTATCTCCACTTTGTTTTGCAAAAATTTAATCAAATTTAAAACCTCTGCGTTGTTTCATTCCATTTTAATCTTACATCTTACACTTTTCCTTTGCCTTGTTTTTCTCTACTAAACACTTTAAACAGTTCTCTCTAATCTGAAAAAATATGAGTAGTTCACTTATAGGAGTATATCATATAATTTGACAACTATTGGACAATAATTCATTCAATAAGTGCTTCACTGTGCAGAAATATGTAATTCCCAGCCGCGTCATCCCCGAGTAGCTGGCCAGAGCCAAGCAATGTCTCAGACAGCCCCAGCCCCAGCCACAGCCTTAGACTCAGTCTCAGCCATAACCAGAGCTTCCCAGTCCAGTCCAGCTGAGTTCCAATTCAATATGCAGTGCACTGCTTTGCTTCTTGTCTCATTTATGGCGACATTTGAATAATGTGCACTCGAGTGTTATGTTTGTCTTTCTGTCTTTCCGTCTGTCTGGCTGTTTCGCTGTTTGGTTTGTGCTCAGATTGTTTCGCAAACAATAAAATGCGACTAAAATATGTCTGTGCTGGACGCTCGGCGAAACGAAATATAATTTTCTTTTCTGACAACATTAATGATTGTAAATTATGGCCGTGATTTGTGGAGCCATTTGAGGCAACTTTTATAAAACAAAAGCACTTACATGCAATTCTTGGCACTGGCATTTAGTTTATTATCATCCAGCCAGGGCTATCAAGGCTTATCAATTTTTGCATTCAGAGCGGCATAGAAAATGCAGACCAGTCAGAAAAGAAGTGTATTGGTGGTAAGGAAATTCTGTGAATTCGAGATTGATGTCGCAGCACATTAGTCGCAATGCAACTCAATCAATATGTAGGCATGGCATTAATGACGGAGTCTCTGGCTGGCTCTGATGAAAAAAAAAAGATGCCAGAAAAAAACGCGAAGACACAGACAGAGCAGAGCCAGTTCAGCGGTAGCTACGTAATTAGTCTGCTGGCACACCAAGACGAACACTTCTTGTCGTTGTCGCCTCTGAATGCGATGAGCGATGATGTTGGCTCTGTTACTGGGTCTGGGTCTGACTGCCTTGCCTAGCTGGCTGGCTGGCTGGCTTGCTGGCTGGCTGGCTGGCTGGCTGGCTGGCTAGCTGGCTGGCTAGCTTGCGACCTCCCGTGTGCTTCGATTTCTGCGAAATTAAACCAGCTGCAAGTAATCGAGTAGCACCAGCAAGTGTTGCTCTGCATTTTTTGTTGTTGTCGCTTAAGCTCGAATTTTGATTGATGCTAAAGTTGTTCGTTTTTTTTTTTTCGTTTACTCTTGTTGCAGGTTCAATTGAATCCGAAGATCTCTCATTGGAGCCGCAAGCAGTTTCCAGCCCCGTCTTGTCCTGCAGTCCATTGAAGGAGGAGCGCAGCACACCGCCCGCTTTGGCGATTGTTAAGGAAGAGACAAGTAATAATAGTTGTACAATGTATCCACTACACAACAACAACAACAACACATCATCAACAACAAGCACATCAACAACAACAGCAACAACAAAACATACAACAAGCGCCACAGATGCAAACGAAACTAATGCCAGTAATGCGGCAGCAACAACAGCAACAACATCCAGCTCTAGTAGCCACACACACCAACAACAGCAACAACAACAACTGCATCACAGCCACAATCATTGTCACAATCATCACAGCCATCACCAACAACAACAACAACAACAGCAACAGCATTTGGGCCAACACTCACCACAACAACAGCAACAACAATATCAACAGCAGCAACAGCAACACCTACAGCCAAACCAAATACAAACACAACACAGTCAGCTACAACAACAACAACAACAACAACAAATGCCACATCATCACCACCACCACCACCATCATCATCACAACAACAACAACAGCCACCCACACCAACAACAGCAACACTACCAGCAACACGCTCTGCAACAGCAGCAGCAACAACAACAACAACAGCAACAACAACAAGGCGCCAAAATTTCATATCGTGGCATTTTTACCACCACAGGTAACGCCACCAGCATGAGCGGTCTAAGTTCAGCAGCCGCCGCTGCCGCTGCTGCTCAGCAACAACACCAGCAACAGTCGCAGCAGCAACAGTTGCCCTCACCACAGCTGAATGTACTGCCCGGTCAGATGTCACCACCCTCGACCAGCTTGGGCAACAGTTGGGGACTGCCCAGTCCGGACAAGTCGCTCTTCCAGCCACCCATGTTTGGTCTGCAGGCGCATTACGCCGTTCAGCAACAGCAGCAGCAGCAGCAACAACAAAGCTCAGCCACGCCCTCGCCCCATCATTTGCAAACCGCCTATGATGATGGACGTGTCGCTGCAGCTGCTGCTGCCAACGCCGCTGCTGCCGCTCAGCATGCTGAGCTATTGGGTCTGAGCATGGATTGCACGCCCTTGTTGCTTAAACAGCCCCCACCGAGTTACAGCAGCTCGGCGTTTGCCGATATGCAGGCCAGCCATGAGTTGCAGCAACAGCAGCAGCAACAACAACAGCAGCAACAGCAACAACAGTATGCTGTACGGGCACAAATGTCCGCGGTGGCGGCGCCCAAATATCAGTGGCTCGATTCGCCCGCCGACTATGCAGCAGCAGTGGCCGCTCAACAGCAGCAACAACAGCAACCGGTGCAGCAACAGACGTTGGTGCTGCCCGGTCCCACCTCCTCGGCCTCGTCCAGCAATGCCGCCTTGGGTGGTCTGATACCCAAACAAGAGAACTATACGGATATGCAGCCCGCGGGTGGCGCCAACGGGCAATCCAGTTATCCATCCGCCTCGACAAATGCCACAGCCGTGCAATTGGCCGAGTACAGTCCCTCGACCAGCAAAGGCCATGAGATATTATCGCAGGTGTATCAGCAGAGCACGGTGCCGCTGAAGCTTGTGCCCGTAAAGCCACGCAAGTATCCGAATCGGCCAAGCAAAACGCCAGTCCACGAGCGACCCTATGCCTGTCCCGTCGAGAACTGCGATCGACGCTTCTCTCGCTCCGACGAGCTCACCCGCCACATACGCATCCATACCGGCCAGAAACCGTTCCAGTGTCGCATCTGCATGCGCAGCTTCAGTCGCTCCGATCATCTCACCACACACATACGCACTCACACCGGCGAGAAGCCCTTCTCCTGCGACATCTGTGGCCGCAAATTTGCGCGCTCCGATGAGAAGAAGCGACACGCCAAGGTGCATCTAAAGCAGCGCATCAAGAAGGAGTCCAAGCTGAGTCGCGAGCAACATCAGCAACAGCAGCAACAACAACAGCAACAGGCAGCGGCAGCAGCAGCCGCCGCCGCAGCAGCCGCAGCGCAACAACAGCAACTGCATCAGCAGCTGCAACAGCAGCAACATCAGCATCAGCATTCACACCAGCATCTGCTGCACTCCGCCGATCTGTCCATAGTCGCCACGAGCGCTACCAGCATGTAGACCGAAGAGAACTCAACATCATCGATTGATTCCGACATACCCACCACTAGTGCGCGCTGTCGTCGCAAACGTCCGGCAACTGTCCAGCAGCCCGCAGCCACTTCGCCCAGCTATCAGACGCCCACACTCGACCTCTCGCTGGCCATCAACGAGAGCGCCTTTCCCTTTGAGCTTACCTCGGACTATGGCACCTTGTCGCCACTCACAAGTCCGCTCGACTTCGACTTGGTGTTGGTCAACGAGGAGACAGGCATAGAGCTGCCAACCGCATCGACGGACGACTCCCAGGCCGCTTATTGCAATTTATTGCATTACCTTCGAGGCCCACCACAATCGCCGCTACGCTAAATCTAACTATATCTATTCGATTTATGCCACAAATTAGCAAATGGGGGGAGGGGCTGTTACTGTTGCGAATCATTTTAAGAGTGGGGCGCTTTAATTTCTTTTACAATACCGGAAGTATAAGCAAAATTTTAATCGAAACAGGACTAGCATCTGTTCGATTTATTTTGGCCCTGGCGTGTGGAAAACATTACAATATTATTGGGATATATAACCTTTTTTTTAATTTTGCAACACCTTTTGTGACAATAAATCACTTGAATACCTTTAAGAAAACAATGCGGAACAGCGACAGCAACCCATAACCTCCATTTTAGTTTTTAAAAAAAACATAGCTAGCTCTATTTTGCAGGCCACACATTTTCTCGTTAAATTGTTGGCTTGTTGACTCAAATGTGCCAATAGCGGTAACAAAATGTACAACACTAGCAACAGATACAATAAGCTCAACAATACTTTTAGCTGAGAGAAATCATTACACACACACGCTCTAAACAGACTAGTTAAGCGCACAACAACAACAAACTAGTTGCATTCAAATTACAGGAATCAATCTTTGATGCTGAATATTAAGCGCATAAATCATAAACACAATTTAGAAAAACAAAAACAAAAACAAGAGTTGTAGCTGTAACGATAGGTTGTTTTAGCAGCAAAATCATGCAAGACATTAAAGTAATAAAACATACTATAAACACGCAATACAATCCCCCCAAAATCATAGCGCTTAAAGCCACATACATATATAAATATAAAGTTGTTACTAAAAAAGAAAAAAAGTTACTAACCAGCCTAACAAAAAGCAAAACTAAATAGAGAAATATAACGAGGAAAACAAAACGAAAAAAGCTACAAAAACAAACATGAAAACAACATTTAACTTATGTCTCTAATACTGTGATCTCATGTGTAATAATTATTAATTTTAATTTCTACAAACTAAACATGAAAATTAATTTAATAATAATGTATAATGTTTTCACTTTGCATAGCTAATATTCATTTTTTAAAAATATTAATAAATGCTAACCATAAATTTATTAATACTATAAACAACAAAATTAATTTATTGCAGCTAAGCATTTTTTAAAAACAAGAAACAAAAAAACAACAAACAACAAAAACCATTAACTTATTTAGGTCTTCAATTTAAGTCAAACTTACATACATTTAAATGAAACAAACAAATTGTTAGCATATCATACTTTGTGTAAGTTTAAGTGCAGATAAACATTTAAACAAAAGCAACAAAAATAAACCATTGCAGCCATTTTTGTGCATGTTATAAGTTACAGCATTAAGTTGATGTTTAATAGTTATAAGCAAAAGGTTAAAAACAAAACAAAACAGAATTGTGCAACAACAAACGAAATATTCGAAAGCCCCTTGTACTTCCTTAAATGATTCGAAATCAACGCATAATGCGGTGTGCTAAAAAATTATTTGCCTTTTATATTAAATATTTATATAACTATACTTTTCTTTAGTTTAATTGCTTTAATGTTAAGTTACAACACCTTTTTTATAATTAGCTTATTTTATTTTGAAAATATATAACAATTTTTTGCAAAAGTTTCAAAGAAGCGCATTGTTTCTTATTATTTTTGATTCAGCTCTATACAAAAAAGCTAGCTGTAATTTAAAAGGAACGGAAATACATATTCAAAAACAATCATTTCGATAGAATTGAATATATGACATTTATTTCAAAATATATTCTTTTATAATTTCTCACATTGATTGATTTCCGTTTTCTGTTTCCTCCCAAAATTTCACAACAAATATTTATAGCCTAGTACTCAGTTCAATAGAAAAACTAAAGCTCTAGTACTCAAGCGAACAGAAATTCATTTTAAAAAGTATTGTTTCAAAGTCTAGTTCAAAAAAGACACTTTTCCAGTATTAGCTCTTTGTAAGCCATTTCTTGACTCCAGATCCAACTAATACAGAGAAATACTTCTTCTTCCCTCCCTTTTTTGTTGAGCCAAGTACTAGGCTGGATAATTGATATGAATTGAGAAAGGGTTAAGGATCTTTGGTAAATAGTACCAAGCAAAATGGACAAATGGACAACAAAATGAAGGTGCGTATTTGATGGTTTCGGTGTGTCGCCTATTAGTTAGTTAAAAAACTATTACACTACACTAATACACTCAATACTTAGCCAAATCATTCTGAATGAAAGCGCTAACTGAGCTTAGCCTTAAGAGTATAACGAACGAAGTACATACATGGAACTTTTGTGCCACTAAAGCAACGATGTTAGCTGAAAATAAATGGAACGAATGGTTTTGAACGATTTATTTCGAAAATTGATAGAGCATCCGTGCTGGAACTACGAGCTCTTTATTAAGCAGCAAAATATATCAGTATATACATACATATATATTTTGCATAGCCGCTGAAATTAGACACAAACTAAATTTAATGAAATAAATATATACTATATATACAGTCATATATACACAAATACATATACGTATAAGGTAAGAGGAAAGAAATTAAATTATATATTTATATGGCTGAGGAGATCTGAAAGTTTTGCATAAATCTTTTTGGGTGGCTACCTCTTTGTTAATGCTACCACAAATACTATAGTTAGATATATGTATCGGTATGGGGTGAAGCTACTTATATGTTTATTGGACACATAGCTAGTGTTGAATGTTAAATGTAATAGTCCCTAGGTACATAAATGAATACAGGGTGCATGGGCCTTGCTATTCAAAACTTATAAATAGAGAATGTGTGAAACTTATGTGCCATCAGAAGAAAATAATAAACAAATGAACAAGAAACTTATTGTACTCCTTCTATTGTAAAATTAAAGAGAAGACAACAATTTGGTGAAAAATTGCATGCTTTTACATGCGGCACTAAGAATTTTAATCAAAGCGAAACATATTTAACATTTTTTAAATTAAAAAACAAAAGTTGTGATTTATATTGTTTATTCAATGCATGGTTCTATGTCAAGTATATACTATACATATATATGTATGTACATATGTGTGTATGAACGCATTTTAAAATTGTGTACTAAGATTAAAGGCACTAAGGATTCACTTTTGAGTGCTAACTATTAAATGAATACATACATTAAATTACATATGCATACATGTATTAATGAATATATAAGTAAATAGCTGTATGTGTATTGTTTGTACAATAAGTGTGAATTATTGTGTTTATAACTTCAAATTGCTTATGGACAGTTTTTCTTCCATATATAGTACACAAAAAATTAAAAAAAAAAACAAAAATACATTTAATTCATTCAATAAATGTATTTATTGATGCATTCTTAGCTAGCAAGTTTATTTGCTGCATGCAGCTTCAAATTTTTAGTCATTAATGTAGCTAATTGAGGAATGAAAATTGATAGCAACTCGAAAACTAAAAACATTTCTAGAACGTTTGAGATTGGTTCGTCCTTGAATATCATTAAAGTTTTTGGGTGTACATTTCATATAAAATGTTAATATAATTGACACAAGCATTATATCAATACGAATTCTATATGTTTTGCTGTCCTTAAATGTGTGTGTTTCGTCATTACAATTAATTAAGTGAATCAAAGCGATACCAAATTGCGGAGCAGGCCAGCATTGGATCTGATTTTGGTACGCATAGTATATAAACGCATATAAGTGCGCATGGGACTCCTCAATTTCACTCTAATTTCAAAGACTGTCTTTGTGTTTAATTTTAGGCATACGCGTACAACACATACACAACTAACTTAACTTGATAATGGCCCATCAACAACAATTAAATTAAGTCTTTTAAGTCTGTGTTTAGTTTTATCAAACAAATATCAATTCATTTGAACTTGAACTTAAACTTAAACATGTAGCTGTATCAGTTTTCTATCAACGATTCTATATAATATCTGTAAGCATAAGTTTATATTTTATGTCTGTACGTACACATATATGCGATACATATAAATTAACATTAATGAACGATTTGGCTAACTTTTTTGAACGAATAAAACTGCAAATTTAAAATTTACAAAAACCAAATGAGTTTTTATCTGTACATTTCTCTTATCTGTCTATCTGTTCGTCTGTATGAACGCATGGATCTCAAAAAGTATAACAGATAGTGTTACAAATCTTGATATAAAATTAAACCTCTGCAAAGTGTATAGTAGTCCCAGACTCTACATATATTAAGAAATCACTTATCATCATATATAGCTAATACAAGTAAGTGTAAATTTTCAAGCAGCCCAAATTTGAAATAGTTATTAATGCAAGCGGCAGTTTGGCGATCCGTTAAATCAGATCACATGTCGCCATCGTTGCACTTCGAAACATAAAAACTCTTCATACTCGTACTCGCGGAATACTTCTCGTGCATTAGAGTCATTTATTTGAAGGAGCATAAAAATTAGCGCAAATGCGCCAACTCAGGCGTACACAACGCATTTATATCAATATCAGCAATGCCATATAGGCGTTATACAAGTATAGAACTGGGTATTTGTATCAAAAAAAAAAAAAAAAAAAAAAACAAAACAAGAGGCAAAAAAAAGAAAAGAATCAACCACTAAGGAGAGAGAAGAAAACGTGTTGAGCGCAACGGCGACGACGCAGAAATGCAACGCAAATAAAAAGCGCAATAAAATTGAAAATAATAGCCACAGCAACAACAAACGTCTATACGTTGCGATATATGCCAGCACTCAAAACTAATGAAATGTTCCAAAGTCAAAACGATTGCAGCCACACACATATATATACGAGTCCATATATACAAATGTGTGTATGTTTGTGGGCATGTGTGTATGAGGAACTCAAACTGACAGGCGGTCAGTTGCTTGGCCATTCCGTTGAAAGCCGCCTGACCACGCTCACCTGAGCCTCAACCACCTAAGCCACCGATCGACCGACCGACTGGCACATGTCGCGGTGCAAAATTCTTCAGCAGCGAACCTCCAACTTGCGGCACTCACCTGCGTGCCCGCCACACAAAAACGCAAAAGTTATGAGTGCAATTCTATCGTAAAAATGCAAAATGCTTTCACGGCAGCAGCCTCTCGACTCTTTAACTCGATCGCTGACTGCTGCTGCTGTGGTTCTGTGGTGCAGTGGCGCAGTGGTGCTTTAGTTAAAGTTCGCGGCATTCAAACTAGAAATTCTTGTCTTTGCGTCTCAACAGCAGCAGCAGCGATTGTTGTTGTTGTTGTTGGTGTTGCTGTTGGTAGAGAGGCAGCAGTTGCTGTTGTTGTTGTTGTTGTTGCTAGTGGAGCGGCAGCAACATGCGGCAGCCACATCCTAGCAATCATCGTCAACAGGCGCGTACCCTGCGCTCTCTGTTGTTTGATTTGTGTGCTTGCGGTACAATTTGAGCCTCAAGCTGTAGCTACTATAGCTTCTTGCTATATCGCTCGGCTGCTTATGACAGGCGCAAACAAAATTATTTGACTGCAGCGTTCACTGCAGAATGCACCAGTTTTTATTTTTTTAAAAGTCTTTAATTTTCATGCTACTGCCGCCTGCTAATCCCCACTCCTATCCCCACACCAAGTGATGGACTGTCTGTCTGTCTGTCTGGCAGTCTGTGGCGCATAAAAGTAACTCCACACACATACAAGTATATACAAGTAACTATATACGAGTAGTATGTCTATATGGCTGTGGAAGTCCATCTACTAGGTAGGTATGTAGCCTGTCGCCTTAAGTGTGCCTATTTGACATGTTTAGGTGTTTAGATTGCATGGCAGATATGGCAAAATTGATTTTGATTTGATAAAGCGCATTCCCCATTCCCATTCACTTGCCGCACATTTCCAACCTACTACAAGTATATAGGCTTATAAGTAAATCAACAGACTCGTACTCATACGGTA